CCAATCGGAGAAACACATTCATCTGTCGACCGATGTCGTGGAAACAAGGGTTTTTGCATGTCGTCATTATTTTTATACCGTGGACTAAAGACATGACACGGGGTTTAACGTCCTACTTTTCTCCTAAAAGTTAATAAACTCTGCTTGCGTTGTCTAAAATAATACGCCTTTTCACTCCACGCAGTTATATGCGCATCAAAATAATACGAATCGTTACGCCCTACGGATTTCTAAGCTGATATGTGGGTGCCATCTTTTTAGGTTAAAATAACATTATTTTTATTAATATATAAATTTGCATGGAGTTGAATTCATAGTATATATCTACAAACTTATTGAATAAAAAGCTATAATTCTTGAATTCATTGGCTACCGAAATAACGTTTATTCAAGATCTATGACCCTTTAACCAAAACGCGTTTTAACCACAGATAATAATGACATCAATAACACTGTTTTGGCCAAGACATGGTAAATGAGGAAAAAAACAGATTTGGGTTAAAACAAAATAAGTGTGGTCGGAGTGCAGAATTTCCGGGAAATAAGTGTGTGTGTCGGAGGTCTTGTTTTTTAAGATCTATTGTTCCAGTACTAACCCTCAAGTGAGTTACCCATCTTTTTGGCGCCATTTTGAATTTTGCTCACCCAATCATTTACGAGAAGATTAATTCTTAAATAATGTGTGATTAATGACCTTCAGAGGGTTCACAACCCTGATACACAATATTTTGACACTATTTGCGAACGAGGCCATTTTGTCCGCCAGTTTCGGTCCGATTTAGGGTTATAACGGTGATATATTCACGCGATGTTTTAAATTGAATACAAATTTGTGACCTCTATAGAGTCCATAAGCTAAAAACGCGATTTTTCTTACAATCAGGGGCCATAATTCGGGAAGTTATGGTCCGATATGCACGAATATCGAAAGGAACCGCGATCTGTCGGTTAAAAACATACGTTTGAAGTTTAATGACCTCTACAGTGTTCACAAGCTAAAAACGTGTTTTTTTCGTACAATCAGGGGTCATAATCCATGAAGTTACAGTCCGATACATGCCAATATCGGACGGAATCGAGATCTTAGGGTGATAAACCTATATCTCAAGTTTCATTGAAATCAGATAAAAATTGTGACCTGTAGAGTGTTCACAAACAATTGTGGACGGACGGACGAACAGACAGCGGCGACGATGGGGTATAACAATAATTTGGCGAATGGTTTTAAGGGATAAATTGACCCGAGAGGAATTAGTGCTATTGTACGTGATTGGGCGAATCCAAAATTGAAGATGCCGCCAAAAACTTTCGCCAGGGGGTAAAGATGGGTAACTCCATGAAGGGTTAGTACAGCACTGAATCAATAGATCATAAAAAACAAAGAACGTAATTCATGCTGACATGCTAAATTACAGTTTCCCGACCACGAGTAACCGTCAACTCAAGTAATTTGTTTTTACTTACCGTTGATTACTGGTCTATTATTGGGTTCATTCGCTCGCGGTTCCGAATTGGCTGTGGTGTTAAAGTTACAATTTCATATTTTCTAAGAAAGTCTAAACAATTATTTCTATGTCTTTTGCTCAATATGTTTTCAACTCACTATTATACGATCATAGGTGTCATTCTCACACTTAAAACTCATTTACACCGGAAATAATAACACAATTACTTCCCAATCACCTCCCTTGTTTTCTATTCTCCACCATGGAGTAGCTATCTTCAAACGTTTGAATTTGAAGATGAAAATGATTTTTTTGCCAATTTCCCAACTGGCAATAGTGAATTATAGGATTAATAGGATTATTCTTTAACAAGGTTGGACTGTTTATAGATACCATCTATTTTAAGGCTTTATTTTAATAAATTTTAAAAAAATAACTTAAAAATATGAAATTGCAAATAGGCTAACATTTCTTTTTCAAATAAAAAGTTGGTATTATCTGACATGACATGAGTAAAGCCTATTTGACATAGTATTTGCAAACTAGATCATGTTCGATGTTGTTTTCAATTTTAGCTCTCCGTCCACGTCCAACCATTCAACCATACGAAGAACGAGTCGTTTATATCAACGTAATGTTTCTGACCATGTGCTCAATCACCAAATTGAGCACGCAGTGGCGACACCAAACGACTTCATAATGCTGGTTGCTAGGTAGAAGGGTAAAACTCTAAATTTGTTAGATGTTCATGCTAAACATGTAAAGCGTCAATTACGAAAACATTTTTCGTCTTAATAATAGAAATAAGATGGAATAGAATTAAAATTTACGCTGAACTAATAAAGAAACTGGATCAATTGTCTTAATTTTGAAATTGCATGAATAGAAATTAGACGATGGCACGACATTAACAAATTTAGAATTTTGAATCTAATATATCACCATAATTGTCTGACATGGCATGATTTTATAACGTAATTTTGTGGACTTGTGTAAAGGGTGGTAGAATGCACCAGGCACGTTGTGTACAATTATAATTAAACACATCATTTAACAATCAACTTCTAAAGGTGTACTTATAATCAGTCATGATTATGCACGGATATATAATTGCATGCAGTTTAAAACCATTCATTCATCTGAAGTATAAACCGTGTGTATAGACTACTCCAACAAAAGGACTAAAGATAATTAATCACGATGCATGTGACATTATTCCAGGTAATATTTGACTGGTGGCGCATGTAAACATAAAGAGTGTGAATTTATGGCACCATCTGTGACATCTTGTTCCTATAATAGGAACCGTGCCTTAATTTTGGAAAAAAGCACTTGAAATTGGTGATTGCTTTTAGCAGATAGGAGGGGGTGGCCAAGTTAGTGACACCGCGGTCCGATGCGCACCAAAATTAAACAAATGTTTTAATTATGCATTATGTAAGAGCTAAATCTGCGTATATCCCGTCGCCATTAGCCCATTCTGTGCAGAAAAGAAAGTAGGATATTAAACCCCATTTCGTTCCGTTTTATTTGCTATTATAGTCCTGCTAATCACTAACAAGAACGTTATTTAGTCAAAAGTGCCCAAAGTATTACAAAAAATGACCGACAACGAAAGATATGTTATAGATATATATCGATATGGTATAGATATTATTATTATTATTGTTCGATTTATATAGCGCTTCATTACACGTGAAGTGTTTCTAAGCGCATATCACAAACATATACTTCAAACACACAGAAACAATCAAAATCAGGAGAACATAATTAAACACAATTAAACACAGCTGCCTGTTAGGCGCTATTATTCAAAGGTTTATATCCAACAAATCAACCGGCTAATCTCTACATTGAACTCAGTCGAGGTATTACCTGATGAACACCTACACCAAGTAGAGTTCAATATGCTATCCTACATTTAGGTTGACTATTATGATATCGTAAAAAAATACAAAATTATGGATAATTGAAATGATGTGACAAAGCGGTATAATAACGACAGGGGGAACATCTAGCTCACACTAGCCGCCAGGCTAGAATTAAATTTACACTGACCGACAGGAACGAATTAAACTTACAGTGGATATACTATTTAAAAACCCCAGAGACAAGACTAAAAGTGTGATTAATAAATACGAGGAGGGCTGGCTGAAACGTTCTAAGCCTGAAAAGGATACAAACTTTTGCCACCAAGTACAATCATTGAATGAATCATAAGAACTGCAACTAAAGTGTTTTTATTGTCTTCCTACCAGACCATCTTGTGAATCTACCAATTGAAATCACCAGAAATGGACAAACATGGCAATAGGGCAGTCAACAAGTACTTGCAACCGCAACACAGAAACATGGAGTTCAATTTAGGGAATGATGCCCCTTCCTTTTCCACAGTAAAGAAGTGGGCTGAAGAATTTAAGCGTGGCAGAGAGAGTCTTGACAGTGTTGTGGGCATCATTCATGAGAGAGTTGAGCACATAATCGCCAACGAGTTCGGAAGTTTATGCAAGATGGGTACCACAGCTCTTGACAGCGGATCAGAAAAGTGTAAGATTCCTGACGTCGCGTGACAATCTGCGCCGTTTTGAAGCAGATCCTGATAATGTTTTGACCAGATTTGTAACCATGGATGGGACCTGGATTCATCACTTTCAATCAGTCTAAACAATGGAAGCGTCGGTTTCTTCTGCTGGAAAAGTGATGGCTTCGGTCTTTTGGGATTCCAAAGGTATTCTGCTGATTGACTATCTTGAAAAAGGCCAGACTATGAACGGAAGACAGTTGTGTGAAGACAGTTGTGTGAAGCTGTCAAAGGTAAGGGACGGGGAATGCTCACTAAAGGCGTCCTGTTCCACCAAGACAATGTCGCTGTTCATAAATCGGTAATTGCCATGTCAGCGATCTATGATTGTATCTTTGATTTGGCCCCGTCAGACGTTCGCCTGTTTCCTATAATGAAAGATAGGTTGCCAGGCCACGAAACATACGCCCACAGCGGCTAAGTCGTCTCAATAAGGGTTGTCACATATGTTTTCTTTTGTCAGTTAGGAAAACATTTACAACACACTAAATTTTGATTACGAATAACAACCCATTAAGTAAGTATCAGAAATCATCAGAATTTGTTTGGCTTCTATTTGTTTCCTATATTAATGTTTAGTATACATTTAATATCAAGGGCCTCTCCGTCTCATGACCTTAAACACTGTGTATAAATTTAAAGTCAATCGGATATTTAATTTAGCCTCTAGAGCTCCCACTGGCAATTGTGGACAACGGGCGACGACATTACACGACCACATTTCAATGTGGGCGCATAAAAAGGAACTAGCCGGTCGTCATTTCCCTAGTAATGATGACGTCATGTCAGCTGTGACCGACTTTTTTTTTTTAGGGTAGTTGAAGAAATTTTTTTCTTCCTAACCGGCATCCAGGCCTTGCAGCATCGTTGACAGAAGTGTGTACATCTCGAAGGTCACTCGGTAGAAAAATAAATGGAAATCATCGACCACAAAAAGTATTATAGTATAAAATGTTATTGGAAAACACCAAAAGAACAAATCAAGAATGTTTAATTCTAAAACAAATGTTGTTAATATCTTTCATTTTTACAACACTATTTATATTCTATGTATAATTTATTTATAACAATCAAGAAACGTTTAAATATATTCTGCTGCTACATGTCAGACATTCTAATTATGTTCGAACTGATTAGGGTTTGATTTCACAAGTCTTTTCATATATTAAGAATATTGTTCCAGAATGTTTACTATTATCATATATTGCAGGATTGGCGGCAGGATAACAGAAATATCACTCATCAACATAATACAATAAATGGCCCAGGAACTTAATAACCACGTGGAATTACGGTTTAACCGGGTCATTATTTTGTTCTGATGTGTGAATTTGATGTTGCGACGCCCAATCTAGAAATACTGTCATCTCTTTTTCGTCTATTATTTCATCACCTACAAATAGACAAAAGTAAAATAAATATGGGTGTTAAATTTATAAAGGCACTGGAAATTTCTCAAGACGGGAAACCTTGTTAGGCCGTTGCGATGTGCCCGCCGTTTATGCCACACCTTTATGTAAATGGCCCTGGCTTGTTTGTGAGTACATAAAGATTTGGTATGCGCATTAGTTAACGGAAGTCAAGTGTGGACAAAGGCTACTTTAACTTTTGGGGGTTCAAATTTTGAAGGCAAGTGAACTGAAGTACGTCGAATTGTTTAGGGCTTAAATAATCACCGTAACCTTAAAACATTAGCCACCCTAGTTACCAGAAAACCCATGTTTAATAGGTAGCTATATTCAAAAGAACCTGACCATTGAATTATTTGTCATATTAGAATTATATCTATGTAGCCAGCTTAATATAACCGTACACGACAGATTTTAATTATAACCTCTTATAATGTCGGCATTTCCTTCTACCGTCACAGCATAGCCAGTCTAATTCTAACAAGATAACTGTGCTATTCGGCCGGATCTTTTTATATAAACAACCTTCCTCCTGGTAATAACTTCAAGTAGACAATTATAATTATTTAGAAACTTGTCGCTCTATTGACATCGTCTAATACAGACGTCCAGTTTGGTAAATTGTCGGTTGACAAGGCCCCGTCTTAATGTGTATGAAAACATTTCGACATACAGTCTGGTCTGAGTTGTAGACGTGTTAAGTATTTTATATCTGCAGGGTATTAGCTCTTGTAATAAATGGTTGTCAGTTTGATAGTCCGATGGTTGCTAGGAACTTGGTCACAATTCCCCAAATTACTAATACTCACACCCAATTTAGACTGGAGAACTAATTAACATATAACGATGTTGTGCCAATATGAAATTGGAGTTTCCCCTACTCGCTATTCACAAGTGATGAAATATTATTTTAAAAACGTGATACAAAATATTCATGAATCGAACGAAGAAAAACAAGATCGCTACCACTAACAAATCATGGGCTATCTCACCCCAATTACTTTTTTTCATAATCGCCTGTATATTATTTAGTAATTTTGATGTTTGTACGAAGTTAATAGTTTTAACTTTTGATAATCTTTAAAAAAAGATTAGATTTTTTTTCTTATTGTTTCTAAGATGTAACTTATAAGTACATCGATTACAATCGTTCTATTTTTTCACATCAAGAAACCTCTCAAAGGTAATAATTTTTGAAAATAGAAACTTACCGTTAACATCAAATTTTTTCCATAATTCTGTTGTTTGTTCTGGTGATCTTTTGCCCCATGAAGTAAAACCTTTCCAAGAATTTCCACGTTTCTCCCATACTGGTACTTCATCCAATTTCTGGTCTTTGCTGTCTTGACCAGATCGTTTACCCCATGTTGAAAAACTAGACCAGTTCCCCTTGTCAGCACCAGATTTTTTCCCCCAAGATGTAAAGCCTTTCCAGTCTCCATTTGCACGTTTTCCCCATGTTGAAAGTTCGGCCCATTTTTTATGAGGTTCATCAGCGGCAGCCCTTTTACCCCAACTTGTAAATCCTGACCAGTCTTGATTTCCTCTTTTTCCCCAAGTTGTCAGAGCCGACCAATCTTTGTTAACCCCTCTTTTCCCCCAAGAAGTGAAAGAAGACCAATCCTTATTGCTTGGTCGTTTTCCCCAACTCGTGAATCCAGACCAATCATGTTTACTACTTGGTCTTTTTCCCCAGCTAGTAAAACCAGACCAATCTTGATTACTTGGCCGCTTGCCCCAGCTCGTAAATCCAGACCAATCTTGGTTACCCGACCGTTTGCCCCAACTCGTGAATCCAGACCAGTCTTGTTTACTAGGTCGTTTTCCCCAGCTTGTAAAACCAGACCAGTCTTGTTTACTAGGTCGTTTTCCCCAGCTTGTAAATCCAGACCAGTCCTGATTGCCTCGTTTACCCCAGCTCGTGAATCCAGACCAGTCTTGGTTGGCCCTTTTGCCCAATGTTGGTAAAGACGACAAACTTGAATCGTGATCGTGGGTATCATCGTGAGATAGTTCACTAGGTTTAGCATCGAATTTTTCAGTTGCAGTAAGTCCGTTTAATTTAGCATCACTTTTATCACTAGCATCAGTAAGGCCGTCAAATGTAGCTTCATTGTTTGTATTTGCGACTACTGTGGGTTCACTATTTAATGTTTGACGTTTGCCCCAGCTCGTAAAACCTGACCATTTTGAGCTCGAGTCCCGTTTACCCCATGTTGACATATCACCCCAGTTACGTTTACCCCACGTTACAAATTGGTTCCATGCTCTTTTATCGACTGTTTTGTCTTCACCACTTCGTTTACCCCATGTAATTAGTCCAGAGTTCGCCCATTTTTTAGCCCAGATGGGCATCCTCTGCCACCTTTGACCCCAGGTACCTTTAGGGTTCCACCGCTTTCCCCATGTTCCTAGTACATTCGAACGCCACCGACGTTTTTCTATTTTATTTGCAATGTCTGTATTTGAAAGTTCATCGACAGAGGAAAGTTTATCTTCAGCTTGTAATAACTGCAAGCTCAGTGTATATAAAATAAGGCAGAGGAAATTTTTCAGATCCATTGGTTGGTCCTGTCTGAAATGATATAAAAGAATGTAAATAAATATTTGCTTGTAAAAATAAAATCTAGTCTAGTGACCCAGCTTTAAAGATTGGTGTACTTTATATATAATGTATTAGAAGTCCAAATGTCAGCTATGACGTCACTACGTTGAACAAATATTGCTACATAGGGATAAAGCAAAGACAATCTAGTGAAACACTAGCTCATCTGTTTTAGCTAAATAAGTACGACACTACTATATGTACCAGAAACCACGCAGTTATCCAAGGAACAAGCATGCAAAGTTTCAGATCGATGGTATTTGAATTGGCGGAGCCTTGGGCATTTGTCGAAGAGTGTCACCACCAATACAAGAAGAACAAGATGAGTAGGGTTTGGGGACCTGATTCTGCCCCCCCCCCCGCCCCAATAATAAATTCAATTTGTATATTTACATTTGCATAAAGCTTCTCGCTGTTAGATATACAGGGATTCGTTTGATAAACACTTCTGTAGGAATTATAAAACCCTACATACTGTAAATTGTAAAACAATAACATGCTACAGATATACTAAATGAAAGTAAGAACAAAGTTTACATGTTAGTGCTTATCTGTCTAATAATTACTTCCTATTTCGTAAGTATCGTTCTCAAAATTCGAAAACCTCAAGGATTACACGCACCACTGGGCGTATCTTTTGTTGCCTGGCAACCTGTATAGGTCAATTTTCTATTCATTGGTTTTTGCTAGATACACTTCTATATCGATGATACATGTGGTTGTGTATCTTGTATCGGAAATTGAGCCGTGCATCCGCCGATTCTCCAAATATCCAATATAATAGTGGCCGCCCTGATTATCACCGCCAGCTCTAATACCGTTCAAGTCAACATCTCCAGTATCAACTTACAGAAAACATAGTCGTTAACATCAACATAATTGTAATGATCTCTGATGATAACATCGTGACGGCGTGGGTGAAATAAACACTCCCTTAAAGGGAGTAATTACACAGATATCAGGTTATTTAATGTTAACGCTTGTTTCAGATTTGGGGTGATGAATTTAAACTGTAATGTGCCTCCTTTTGCATTCTTATGTCTATATTTTTGTAGTAATAACACAACTTAACGGCACCTTTTAACTTTGGCCATATTTGAAGGTAAGTTATAACCCCCTCCAGTTTCCTTTTATACCACGACCATAGGTTTAAACATTGGAGGAGTAAGCCATGGTATATTACACAGAAACCGATGTTAATCTGTACAAGAACTTGTGTTTCAATCCATGCATTACTGGTATCATTTGTGTTATTTCAAATTCTATTAGAAAGTGAATGTGTCCAAGTGAGTGACAGTTAGGGGATATTGTCAAATTATTGGTTTTCAACATATCGACATGTTTCTCATATTCATCGGTTATATCAAATATTTAGAAGACAAGTATAAAGATTTCCAGCATGTAATAAGACACTTATTATCTACAAATTGATTTCATCTACATTAAGATAAGGCTGTTTCTTGTTTAGTGGATTAACCAGCTCAATACCTGGCACGTCTAACCTCCTCATCAATATCACATAGAAATCTTAGCTTTCAGCACATGTTAACGGCACGACATTTAATTCGTCTTTATTATCCGTGGCATTGGCACCGATGGTCTAGATCAATGTACCAGCTATCACCTATGGCATTTGAATGGCCCATAAGCTGTGTAATATCTATAATCGAACAGGACGTATTACGAACGAACGGGTGCTTTAATAGGCGATCAATTTGTTGGGAATTACCCCTGAGATCTTTCACTCAATGAAAAACCAAATCGTAAAGAAGAAAGATATAATGATCTGTCCTTCATCATGGGAGTTAAATCTTTATCTTTTATAGTGGCCAATGTCTTAAATCAATTACAACTACTTCTATCATATTAAAATAGCACCCCTGTCTTGAACTAGGTGTATCTAAAACCTATTAAACTTGGTTATCCCTTTTGAGTTTAACTGATTAACGGATCGCAGCCATGTATAGGCGTGATTGGAACAGCAGCGTTCGCAGTGGCGGTTTACAGTACACAACTAACAACATGACACCATGAAGAACCTGAGTACGGAAACACAAAATACGGAAGAAAAAGAATAAAAAAAATTAATAAGAGACACACATGCGTTATTCGTTCTCTTAGTTCCATGTAAAATATAATGAATTATGATAGTTATAACACATGATTAAATTTAAAGTTATTTACTTCAAATGATACAATCTGAAATAATTAAATATACACTTATTTCCTTTATTCTTCCCTATATATATATATATATATATATATATATATATATAATCAATCCATATTAGTTTATGGTCAGTAGGTTCAGATACCTTTAACAACACGTCAAATTGTCAAAACTCATAACGCATGACATAATTTTCTTTTCAAACAAGTGTCAAACATAGCTCTTATATGTAGCAAAATGCCTAAAACAAACCACCGCGTCAATTATGTAATTTAAACACGAAAATAACTATGATATTTTGTCAAAGAGAAAAGAAATAACCAAAAAATACGGCTTTAAATCAATAATAATGACTTCCCAAAAATAGAAGTTTTTTTTTGTATTTATTACATATAAAAAAAATGATTCGAATAAGAACTTGGATAAAAATCAGAATGGAAATATTTTTCAAACACAGGTGTTGTAATATAAACTATTTACAACCGTTGTAAATTCGGCAATTTTAACATGGAGAATTCGCATACTGATTATCTGTACATGGCTCAAGTGACAACAACGTAATGGTCTCTGTCCTAGTAGCATCTATCATTCTGACGAATATTCAACGAATATTAGTCTGGCTGAATTGTCAATATTTGAGCATATCTAGGTCATTGGCTTGGTTATCCGGACTTTTATGTTACCATGTAAGAAATCTACCCTTTGCAGTCATAGAGCGTATAGTCCCAAAACATGGCGTCAACGGCCATGGAAGCCTTTTCAAGAAATGTCATTCCAGACAAACCTATATGCATTGCCCTTTTAACATCCAACATTGAAATCTTTTATACTGTACAATTCTTTTCTTTAAGTGCCATATCTGGATTTTCTTTATCTTTATTATGATACCAAGACACAATGCAGCTCGTTCTTAAATATAGCTAAAGAGTTCCATTGCCCATTCTTGACCGGGAGTTTGGTTATTTATGTGGTTCGTTATCCAGTCACATTTCTTCAAATGTGGACAATTCCTCAAATGTGAACAACTGGCACAGACCCCTCCCTGTGTTGAAAAATAGGTTCTGGGTGAAACGTAACGAATCCCTGTTTTTTTTTGTATTGGAAGATTTCAACAGGGAAGTCCTTTCTAGCAAACAATCAAATCTAGAATAATAATTTTAAAAACACCCTCCCAGAACCCGCTTTCTCAATATTACGAAATCATTACAAGTAGACTGATACCATTCTAGTTATCTGTAATTATACATAGAACTCATTTCACTGAAATGGTTGGTTAAATACATTATTAACTCAAGACTGACTATATCACGGTTCATCGGCTACACAATTGTATTTGCAGGACTAATTTCTGTTGTATTGATACTCAATATCATTCTCTATAACAAATTCCCAGTTTGCAAAATGTCAACAGGTTTTTAAGAACTGTAAATTCGTATTGTGTATTTTGTTGGTTATTGGTTTTGATTATTACTAAACGTCTCTCAACCGCCAGTATTACCTTGCACACAATTACGATATGATAGACAATTCACTCCAACAAAACATAGAATGAACAGTGCATATTGCAGAGATCTCAATGCCCTTCACAGCGACATAAAAACAATTTTCTAGATATCCAATCAAATTAGGCGGCTCATCCACATTTTGCCTTGGTTCACATTTGAATGAAAACCCTTAATCACCTTCTGAAATGCTTTATTATCAAGACTTCTGATTCGCGATTTTCTAAATAATAGAACAGCTGGATTTTAATCCAGAATGACAGTTGGACTCAAACCAGAAGCCATTTTATCAGAGTTCTGACGTAAGGAAAAATCAAAAGGTCCCAAAAACCGCTACGGAAGACCAGACTAAGGATGCACCCCACCCCTAATTTCAACAATACAATATCCGCCCACTGCGTAAACGATTTAAAAATGAAAAAAAGGAATTTAAATAAAACAGAAAATATTATTAGACAGGTACAAGAAAAGAATATAATTGTTGATTAATACGAATGCGACACGACAGTGCGGTTACTTTACTATTTATAAATATTATTTGAGCGTTCAAACGGAATAAAGAATCACGTTTCTTCGCGGGGGGTGGGTTATACACTTGCAACTAACACTTTATTGTCACTATATTAGCTTGAGGCACAACATTTTTTTTTATTAATCCCATAGTGCATACGCGTTTTTATTTCAAGTCTTTGTATGGAATCAATAGAATATTATCTCGCTTGCTATCCGTCTTTATCGGCACCTACATTACTTTAGGGTCATGATCACCGTACGATAGAGAATAGTTTAAATCAATAAATATGTATTTAATTCACGTTTAGTTTAAAATAAATGAAACAACCATTTTCTGTTTCCTGGATATTTTCTAAACATAAAATATTGTTATCATTCATTATACTTCAAATGGCAGTATTGCTTTGATTTCGTTCAATGAAATAAATGTCGATTTGATGGCAATTCATATGTATCGATTTATTTTATGAGATGACATCGGTCTTTTTTAAAATGTTAGGTCCCTAGTTAAAACACTATTGATCCATTTGATAGGTAAAACACTAATTGACGCAATTGATAATTGAAGCCAAAATGAAACTAACCGACTTCCTCTCAATTTCTAAACGAAAAATTTAGTGTACAGTGTGAAACTTCGCCAATAGCTAATGTAATTAATGTTTCTTAAATTAATCATTTTAATCTGAACTGGCCTGTGCGTCTTTGACCTGTCATTACGTTATTTCCATCTATTGTTTAGTTATTGTATAATTCCACGTGCATTGATCATCGCGAAAGGTCAGTTT